AAAATAATAAATATTTTATGATACTTATAAAGTTTACATGACTTTCTGTTCAAAACCCTTGAAAATACGGTATTATTATATTACAAAACTATGAAATATTGTTTAATATTAATAATTAAATTTGATGTGCACATTTATCAATATCGAAAATTATTATTTGTTTAATATTTCATGAAAAATGTTACTGCTCGCAACATTTCAAAACTATACAAAATGATAGTTTTTACTTCAGCCGCTAATTCGTTTATTTACCACTATGTGACGCGCGATGCGCATTATCTCGCATTTGAGTTTCAGTCATGAAAATTATATAAAGCTTCGAGCAACTGGCAGGAGATTAAAAATGTATTTATTTCTATCAGTTTAATTTCTGATGCAATCCCAATATAGGGAAATCAGACATTAGATTGATAATTCTAAAAGTCTGAATAAATGTCCGAAAAAGTTAAAATCATCCGTTTATATATATATAATCATATTTACTATATTGGTAATTCCATTAATATATTCTATAATAATTCTATGTTTATTATTCTATTTGATAAAGAGTTAAAAATCCAATGGATTTGTACAAGTGAAAGAACGGTAAATTTTGAGAAGTAGGCAAAGTTCACCAATTTTATACGTCATCTTATATTAGAGAAATGTCGTCATTTTATCGTCATAGATATGACGTCAACGGTCTGTGACTTAGGACCGTCATTCTAACGTCACTTTTACGTCGTTTCAAAAGTGAATTTGACGTAACCAGTGACTAAAAAATAACGTTATAATAATGACACCTTGCTACCTGGGTAGTTTTCGAGATATATCACTTTAAAGAGAGAGAGAGAGAGAGAGAGAGAGAGAGAGAGAGAGAGAGTATTGGACATGATAATAAAACTTTATAAAGACGGACCCAACGATGTTGACCTTGATATATGTTGTCAAGATCATGATCCTGAGTAACTTTTCCTTATAACTTAATCGGCGGTCTCTTATAATTTTTGAGATATTTAAAGTTAAAGTTTAATTCGAAACGAAAATTTGGTTTGGGTTATATAACGTAACCCAAACCAAATTTTAGTTTTAAATCAGAAATAGGTTTGGGTTAAGTTATATCTTTCGAAAATGGAGCCCCACCCCCGTAGGGGGGGGCGGAACCCACTGCGTCCACGCATATACTTTACAATGCAAAGCGAGGAAATTAAAATAAATAAAAAAATTAAGCCCCAAATAGGGGGCTACAGTTATCGTACCGACTCGTACACCACAGTCGTCACCGATAGTTTTCGTATTCCTTTTGAGTATTGTTAGCATTTATCTTGTACACGTTATGCGTAATTAGAGTAAGGAGAAGGCGTAATTCTCCGATATCGAGCAGAGTATCTATCGGGTGTTTGTGACCCCGTCGTTAGTTTTCGCGAGTCAT